CTTAAATTCCACTTAAAAGGTCTTGTTCAATTAAAAGGCTTTTATTAGTGTAAAGAAAAAGAAAATTCTGTATCAATACAGAATTCTTCCTAAACTTCCATGTGGCAAGTTACCTACAATAACAGGTTACTTTGTCAAATATGAAGTATTACTTTTTTTTTACTATTATCAACATTACTTTTTATATTTTAAATATTTTTAACCCCAAATAAGTAGTTTTTTTATATTTTTTAACCATTAAATTGGTATTATAGATTTTATATTTTAATATGGTTTGCGCCACATTATGGCCACATTTATTTTTGGTTAATTAAGTAGAGATATAAATGTAAAAAAAAAAAAAAAAAAAAAAAATGCTAAAAAAAAAAAACAAAAAAAAAAACAAAGAATTGCAAAAAAAAAAAAAAAAAAAAAAAAACAAAGAATTGAACAGTATTACATTAAGATCAATGGAGTTGCACATTAGATAGACACTATAGACACCTAAATTTTTAAGTTAATTTAATTATTAGCTTAATTATTTAATTAGTCAATTAAATTATTGGATATTTAAATTAAATAATTTATTTTAATAACCAATCAAAATATTTAAGTTGTTATTAAAATAAAATTATTGAATAAATATTATTTACCGCATAAATAAATAATGTAATAAAATCCAATAAAAAATTGGCTAAGTGGACCAATTAAATTAAATATTAGTGAATAAGTCAGGCGTCTACATAAGTTAAGTGATGCAATAGCAACCAATGAGAGCTTGCCAAGTGGACCAATCAAATTACATACTCGGCAAATGGACTCCCTCAAATCTCTATGAATAGGAGGCCTCTCTTCACATATAGAGACTCACACACAATGAAGAGAAAGACAGAGAAGAAGCCTCAAAGCTCTATCAAACTCAAGACTATAAAAGTCTCTCCCAAGTCCAAAGAATAAAAATTCTTTCCACTTCAATTCAAGAAGATCAAGTCTCTTCGACCCTTGAATTTTTCAAAGTTTATTCTACATACACACATATAGAGAGAAAGACAGAAAAGAAGTCTCAAAGCTCTATCAAACTCAAGACCACAAACGTCTGTGCTAAGTTCAAAGAATCAAAGTTCTTTCAACTTCAATTCAAGATCAAGTCTCTTCAACTCTTGAATCGTTTTCAACTTCAATTCAAGATCAAGTCTCTTCAACTCTTGAATCGTTCAAAGTTCATTCTACATCAATTCAACGTCAAGTCCCTTCGACCGTTGAATCATATTCAAGATTAAGTCGTTTCGACCTTAGAATCATGGATGTGACAATAAAGAGAAGAATCAGAGGATAATCTTCATCGTAGTAGGAGATTTCACACTAGAGATTATATCCACTTACTTTATAACTTACTTTATAAATACGATTTATATTTTTGCATTTTTATTTCTTAATTTTTAAGAATAAATTTTACGCATATAGATTTCTGGCATGCCCATTGGGACAATCTCTACCTCTCATCTCTTCACTTTGCAAATCTCGGAGTTTCAACAAATCAACCAAAAGATTCAATGGCACCAAAGAAGATCACTGTCATCTCAAAGGCCATACAAACTGGCGCTTCAAATTCTCTCAATGTCAGATCTACTACTGACTCTAGTCCTGATGCAAATATCAAGATAAAATCCGTCACTGAAATCTGTGCGAAGGCGACTTCTCTGTCTCAGCAAGTTGTTATTGCTTCGCCAACTTTGGTGGAGTCTATTAAGAAAAGAGCTTCCCAAAAGTGGTGAACTGCCTCAACAAAAAATTCTTATGATGTCATGTTTATTATGATGACTGGAACTGCATCGGCGGAAGAACTAGAGCTTCAACTGGAAGCTCTCAATCATGATCTTTAAGAGAAAGATAATCAAATTGCTTATCTCATGAACAGGTTAGAAGACATAATGGGAAAAAGTCAAATATTTAAAAAGGATGAGTCTACAAATTAGAAGTTGTACACTTTGAGGATCGACGTGATGCAGATGCCATCAAATTACCAACCTTCTAAGTTTCAAATCAGAAGGAAAATAAAAAATTATAGAAAAATAAATTTGCAGAGAAAAATTAATTTTATTTTCCTTTTATATCCAAAAAAATAAATAAAAAAGTTTTTCTGAAAACAAATTTAGTCCCTTCTTATTTTTTCTAATTATTCATTAATAAAAAAGATACAAAAATAAATTAAAAAAAAATTTCATCACGCAATACGGGAGCATACGAGATATAAAAATTTTTAAAAAAGTAGGAGATATACGCTTATGACATACTACAGTAAATAAGTATAATACATTAATATTTCAAATAAATAAACAATCATTTTTCAAATAAATAAACAATCATTTATAATAAATCATAAACATAAAATAAAAAATACTTAATTTCTTATTTTAATATAATTAGTTAAATTCTGAAAATTATTATTATTATTGAAAAATATATTAATAGTATGTGTGTATTTTTTGATGCAGGTCATACTAGGAGTGTCAAAATAGGTCACGACACGCGAATACGATTCTCCTAACACGCGAAATAAATGGGTCAGGGTTGAGGTTAAATGAGTTCGTGTCATAAACAAGTTACCCATCTATGACACAAACATAATCGTATTGTGTTGTCAGTTGACATGCGGGTTAAGTGACCTGTTTATTTAAGAGTAAAGAGGTAATTTTAGTATTAGATATAAATACTTCAATTAAAACCTATTTAAATTTTATTGTTGTATTACTTTTTTACTTTAATTATGAATCTTGAAGAATGTATACATTTTACGAGTGAAAATTTATTTTTAAATATGAATGGAGTTAAATAATTTAAAAGTTAAAAAATACTATAAGCAGGTTAAGTGGATAGTACGTAAGTCAAAATACATCCACTTAACCTATTTATGATATTAAGTAGGTTACACGAGTTGTATATGGATCAACACGACCCACTTAACCTGTTTATGATATTAAGCGGATTAAACGTATCGTGTTCGTGTCAACCGTCTAATTTTCGTGTTGTGTGTTGTGTCTATGTGTCGATCTCATAAAAAGGATCAACACGACCCACTTAACCTGTTTATGATATTAAGCGGATTAAACGTATCGTGTTCGTGTCAACCGTCTAATTTTCGTGTTGTGTTTGTGTCGAAATTATAAAAAATTATTTTATTCTTTAATATTGCTCCGCACATTGCACAAATTCTAACACTAGTGATAATAAAAAGCAAAAAAAAGTGAAAAACCGGATTTAATTAGGTCAATCCAGTTTTTCGATTTTCCGTTTAGAATCAATTTTAGATGTCAAACCAGAATGAACCGACTATGGATTCACAGTTGGACTAATCCAATCGACTGGTCCGGTTTTAAAAACACTGAAAGTAACATAACCATTTTTTAAGCCTACCTCAAAGCAATAAAACCAACCGTTCATCTTCTCACATTGTTACCTTAATTTGCTCCCTCAATTCTAAGAACATGGTTTGCATTTCCAACTCCATGCCTCGACCACTAGGGATGCACCCATCACTTTTAAGTTGTGCAAGAGCTTATATTTTCTTTTCTTTTTTCCCTTAATTTTTTTTTTTTTAAAAAAAAAAGACCCAATTGAACCGATCTAACCAATTTAATTTCTTAGGACAGGTACAAGTACTAAAAAACGTGCCACGAGCTTCCCAGTAACAAGGATGGACCAAAGGATTATAGGCCTAATAGATAATTATTAACATAATCCAATAAACCACTTGGGAGTCAACGTATTAAGAAAGACTTTTGATATAATCGCTTCCTAGCATGACAGTAAAATAGGAGATGAGAGTAACTACCAAAATATTATTTACATATCGGAAAAAACCTAATTCTTTTCTTTTTTTTTTAGGAGAGAAACCTAAATTATTATTTGTGCACAAGAGAATATTATATTAATTGTTAAACTCTGTTATTAGTACATAATTAAGATTTCTCTTATCACCTCTAAAAGTTTACATTTTAATATTATTATCTGTTATTAGTATATAATTAATATTATATGGTAATTTATCACTGGAGACAAGAATCAAAGTCTTTCTTACCACCTCTCTGTCTTTTCTCTCTATTTTGTCTTAATGTGTATTGATCATGTAATGAGATTTGACCCATTTTAACACCTGATCAATCCCTATGCATTCTCTGTCTTGCACTCATCTGTTGCTACTTGAGTTTTAATTTACTCTCTCAACCTATATATTTTTGCTTTCATTAAATTATATGAAAAAATGTTTATTTAAATTGACCTTACTACGAAATATATATAAAATTTATTTAATTACGACTATTTAAGAACAAGAAAATGAAAGAATGGTAAAAGTGATAAAGACATATATACCTATATATAGCTAGCAAAGAGTTTAAATAACTGAAGTATGTATAGGTTAAACATTAATTTGGAAATAAGTTTGGTTTATGAAGGTCCAAACTAAATGGTCCTAAATAAGGAGAGTAGCTAATAACCTAATTCAATATTTATATTTTAGATCATAAGGAACTTAAAAAACAGAATCTAAAATCGCGATTATTAGAAAAGTTTTATTTAAATTTCATTTAAGCCTGCACACAAAAATAAGTGTGGAAACTAAAAAAAAAAGGCTTAATTTTCATTACTATCGTTTGCTAATGTCTAGCAAATTATTTCAGTATAATAAGTCTTAATATTATATACTAAAAAAATTATTAATATTAGAATGCAAGTGTCGCACCAAAATTGACTAGCTTCTACGCATTTCTTTCCCCACATAAATTATTATTTCTCCATGTAAAATTATATTTAAAATGTTGTTTTTGCATATGGCATCCATACCTTTTTTAGAGTTTCCATTTCCGTAGTACATAGGATTGACTCGTATGTGCCAGTATCAAAGTTGTAACACAATGTCTACGGCTAAAGCCCATTAATAATAAAATAGTTTCCAACATTTTCAGTCTTCCAGTGACTGGTATATATGGTCCTATTTTCTATTCTTCATGAACGACTAAGTATTACAGAACCATATGAACATGCTTAAGACATAATTGATTCATATCTTTTACTTCCACAAATATATAATTACTCTTCCTCTTCTGCTTCTGCTGGTAAAACGGATCATTAATCAATTTCCGCAAGCTAATCCCGACAGCTGATGCTAAAATTAGTGGCTCAGTAGTCACTATCTCTCCTAAATGTTGAGCCAAAAGGATCTCATCTTCTTGATTCACAAAACCATCCAGTTTAACCAGTTTTAGATGTTTCAGTTTTGTGTTCCTACCTGCAACTTCTGTTGAACACGAAGTGATCTTTTCTACACAGTAGCTTTTAGGATCAATCTGCAAAATTACTGAATTATTCATCTAGATGGTAATAAACAGGTCAAAAATTGCTAATCATAAAAATATAAGGAGTAGACTCTATATCACGAAAAATCATTGCAAGGTTTTTGTAATTAACCCAAATAAAAAAATTTGGAATCATTCAACATCAGAGCATAAAGAACCTATTAGAAATGAAATCAGAAAACAAGGAAACCAAGAAACTATTAACTTACAGTGACAAAGAGTCGCTCTAATGAAGGACATAGTTTCAAGAAAGACATTAAGGCCTGACTATCATATTCTTGATTTAAATTATCAATCCACCACAGCTCTTTAAGACCATAGAATTGAAATTCTGCAAGAAATGTAGATAGCCATGGACAGATAAATGTCTGCAGCAACAATGTTTGAAAGCTCATCAAATAACATTCAAATGACAAATTCAACAAAAAATTATTCCAATTAATTTGATTAACAACTCAAAAGCCAAAAAAAAAAAAAAAAAAAAAAAAAAAAAAAAAAATTAACATTCAAATGACAAATTCAACAAAAAATTATTTCCAAATTAATTTGATTAACAACTCAAAAGGCCAAAAAAAATAAAAAAAAAACAAAAAAAAGAAAAAAAAAAAAAAAAAAAAAAAAAAAAAAAAAAAAATCTCTAAATTGCTTTCAGTTTCAATGATATTTAAAAAAAAAAAAAAAAAAAAAAAAAAAAAAAAATCTAAATTGCTTTCAGTCAATGATATTAGAGTCGTCTCAAAAATTATGAGATAGGGATTTTAAACTCCAATCAAAGCTAAATTAATTATAAATAAATAAAGGCAACAAGCAAAAGAACTATAACTCATTGGTACTGGGTTATCTCCATGATTATGAGGTTGAGATTTTAAATTTCAGTCAAGCCCATTTAAAGAAAAAAAGAAAGAAAAAGCAATAGAAAATACCTTAAAAGTCCATTTGCATACAGTAAGCACTTTCACGTTCTTTATAGTTAACAGGACAGAGTCAAGATCTTGGTTAGTAAAGCTACTTCTCATGGGGCCTTGTCTGAAATCAAGAAATGCATCGACCAAGTTATAATGATAATCAAGCCAAATGGAAGGTAACAATCCTCGAAACCGGAAAGTTTTAAGTTTAAAACATCTGACAGTAAGAAACTCCAATTGTGGGCAGTCAAAGATTGTAAAACTCAAAAGCTTAGTATCAGAACCAATACTTAATGACTGTAAACAATTGCAGTTTCTGATTTTCAAGGTCTCAAGAGACTGAAACTTTGATAATATCAAAGAAACTGCCTTGTTTGTTAGATGATTGACGGATATCAAATTAAGACTTCTGATAGTAGACAGAGATGGCCGGCCGGCAAGATTATTATTGAAGTCTAGTTGCAACTTAAACTGCCTGTCAAATTCTTTTTTTCCAGTAGAGAAATCAAGATGGAGTTCGTTGTTTGGTGCAACGATAGCTAACGAGATATTACCATTTATAAAATGGAACTGAAATTTTCTTGTATTTTTCAATGGGTCTTGCTCATTAAAATTAGCAAGAAAATTACAAATTGTAGTGACGAAATTTTCTTCTGTTCCATGTTGCACTAGAGCTGTCTTCCATAGTAGTCTCCATCTTTCTGAAAGGAAAATGGTTTGTTTGGCAGATTCAAATGGAAGAGAAGAAATTATGTAGAAAAGAATTTCATTAGGCAAATTACTAATGAAATCCTCCATATTTTCTTTTCTAAGACTTACATAACTTATAAGTCACAGATTCAAAAGTTATATATACACACACACACATATATATGTGTGTGTACACCCAAACCATTTACTCCTTTTGTATCATTTTGTTTATATGGTATGACAAAACACACATATTAAGAATTTAGTCAAGAAAAGTTATTTTGCCCTTCTACCCTTAATAACTCATTAAGATATTTTGTTTATATGGTTTGTTTGATTTTTTTTTTTTCAATCTCGTAGTACCTTGATATACTTTTTGAGTATGAAATTAATTTTGTTTTGAAATTCTTGAATGTCTCTCCCTATAAATATGTTTTCACATGACGAAATTTTAACAGAGCAGAAATCATCTGCTGAGTCAAGCGTATGTATTATGTAATCCCGTCTTTTAGGTGAAAGAATGTCATTTTTCATATATAGGTTAAGTTGTTATAAGGTCACTATCTTGGAGACGTGAAATAAACTTAAATCTAATAATTTGTTAATTTTATGTCCTTTGGTCATTGTTTAGACTTTGCTGAAACATACTAATGATGATAAGGATACAAGAATTTGCCAATTTAACACACGACAATGCTGTTAGATAAGGATGCAAGCAAATGCCGTTTGAGATTCTCGTTGAAAATTGAATTAGAATATTTATTGGTTATTCCATTTGTTGGTTCGGATGGCCTATAAGTTTTTCTAGAACAATTACTCCACCAAACTCCCAAACTCCTTTATCTTCCGTAGTCTAAACTTCTTTATCTTTTAAAATTGACTGACTAAATCATCATACGTTATGATTGTTCAATTTTCACTTGGTATTTTAGTATTTATGCACGTTCATTATATTTTTTTTATAATATTAAGTGTTGGTTATAATTTTTTTTTATATTTTTTTAATTTTATAATGTTGAAACATGATTTTATATTAAAATTAATATGAATAGAATGGCTAATTAATCCATAAAACAATAATCAAAGTGATTATACATATACTTTAATTCAATTTATTCATTACCATGGATTCAAAGTGCATTCTAACGACACATAATGCCACAAACCTAACAAGTACACTTCGATGTGAATAAAAAAAAAACAAGCATGTTTCAATATATGCATATGTTTACGTATAAGTTCTCCAGTAAAAAAAATAAAACATCTAATAATAATCAATAACAAACTCTCTTATTACCAACAAAAAATATAATTATCTATGCTTATATACATGTAATCAGTGAGGAGGGAGGGGTAGGCATGGCCGGTTCAGTGAACCGCTGGTTCGAGATGTTTAAAATTTTGAATCGGAACCGACTCTTGAACCCCCGGTTCCGGTTCCGGCACGGTTTGGCATGGTTCCGACGAATCGACGGTTCGAATTACGGTTCCGATTCGGTTGCGACATTATGCAAATTTTTAAAAAAATAATAAAATTTTGATTCCGAATTCATAAATAAATAATAATTTTAAAATGTTTAAATTTTACGACGGTTTCGTTAATTACGCGTCTTCCGATTCGGTTGCGACATTTACTGCAAATTTTTAAAAGAATAATAAAATTTTTATGATTACCGATTCATAAATAAATATATTTTTAAGAATGTTTAAATTAATGTTTAAATTTTATTAACTAAATAAATTATTATAAAATTTTAAAACAAAAACTTCTATTAACTAACATAGAACTATTATTACATGAAATTTACAAATTTTGCTAATTCACTAATATAGAAAGCTATAAATGGAATATAAAATTAATGAAATGAGTTGGAAATTATTATTTTTAAATACTAAGAAAATTATTAAAAAAATCAAATGAAGTAAATTTATGAATGGAAAAAATTGAGATTAGAGAAAGAATTTGGAATTGGTTGTAAGAAAATAAAAACTAAACAATAGATAATTTCAATATTAAGGAAAATAAAACAATAGAAAAAATAATGAAATATGGAAATTTGAGAGAATTTTGATTGATAATAAGAGAAGAGTTATGATATAATTGGTTGTGAAATAAAAAATCATCAAAAAAAATCTACAACCTCATCATATTTATACATGTTTCCTCATTTTATTAGTTTTCCAAATTGTTTCCCTATAAAGAAAAATATGAACTATATTTTTTTGGATTAATTTAATAAATTGACCGTAATAAATAAATAAATGATTAAAGAGAATGAATAAGATTTATTACCAAAAAAATCAATAATAACACCTATCATTATCAAAAACTATTCGTTACATTGTTTTTTTTATACACTTGAAAGTATTTTTTTTATTTTTTATTAATCAAGCTATTCATTAGTACCCATTTTTTTGTATTACAATTAAGTAAAGAAGAATGTGTATTTTTTTCAGTACTTTTTATAACTATGTATCTATTGTACTTCTCTTTACCATAATCAATTCACCATAAATCAAATCAACTACAATCAAATCAAGTGATATAAATTTTTTTATAAAAATTTTAAGCTACAATTTTTTTGTGCATTCGGTTCGAACTGGACCGGAACTGCCGGTTAATCACCGGTTCCGGTTCCAAAATTATGAACCGCCGGTTCTGGTCCGATTCTAGTTCGTCTACAGTACGATTCGGTTTCGGTTAGAATCAAACCGGTGGCCATGCCTAGAGAGGGGGTTAGGGGGCCCACTGCCCCCCTGATTGTACAAAATCAATTGGACGTGATTCACTTTTTAGCTCGCTGGTACATGCTTTGTCGCTCAACTTGATGATATGGAGTGCAAATCCGCATAACAGTTAGCTTGAATTTATTCTACCCATGCATAAAAAATTCACATAAATATTAAAGTATAAAATAATATTATTAATTTATATTTCAATTATTTATACTAAATGAAGGCCCACGCTTTCCGCCGGTTACTTTGCCAATTTATAATTTACAAATAATATGTATTTATAATATATGAAGCATATTTAGTATATATTACAAAATTCATTTTTCCCGCAGGTTGCTTTATTAAATTTTCATATTATATAGAAATTATAATGCGGTTAATTTATTTAAAATAATTATAAATTTCAATTAGTCTAGCAAAGTTTTAGTTAGAGTTTACATTCAAACACTTTTTTTTTTTTTTTTTTTTTTTTTTTTTTTTTTTGAGAATTTTTTTTTTTTTTTTTTGAGAAGAAACAAATTAGAAATTTCATTAAGAGGAAACTTAATATAGATATGAGATACAAATAATTATAAATTTCAATTAGTCTAGCAAAGTTTTAGTTAGAGTTTACATTCAAACACTTTTTTTTTTTTTTGAGAAGAAACAAATTAGAAATTTCATTAAGAGGAAACTGTATATAGATATGAGACACAGATTAATATGTTTTTATATTTTTGTATAGAAAATCTAATAATAAACCACTTATACAAAAAATAAAAAAAATACAATCTTGATTTGAAGTATCTTATCGAGTTAACAGAACATAATATTTGTGTCATCGGCAATCACTTGCTCCACTTGGTGGCTATTCATGGCCACTATTCAACTGTATAGTCTTTCTGCAATTCCGACCTGATTACTTTCAAATTTCTACCATAGATCTGTACTTATTTTTACATTACTATCCAAATAACAAAAGACGCTAGACAAAATTACCATAATGGTGACTACAATAACACAGAATTAGATCTTAAAACAAAATCCCAATGTATAGGTGAAACAAATGTCAATAATTGGACGAAATAACTCAAACCTGTATACAGATCTAAGGATTATTTATAAAAAATTAAACAAAAAAAAGAAAAAGGGGTGATCACTAGTGAGGAGCTCACTGAGCTCACCGGTGGCTGCACCTGGAAGAAAAAAAAAAGAACTTTTAAATTTTAGGTTTGGGAGAGAGAGAGAGAGAGAGAGAGAGACGAAGAGAGAGAGGAGAGAGAGAGAGAGGAGAGAGAGAAGAGAGAGAGAGAGAGAGGAGAGAGAGAGAGAGAGAGAGAGAGAGGGCCTGTCAAACATTTGTTTTTTTATTCTTCGATACTTCTACGTAAAATATAAAGTTCTATAATTCAAATAATTTCAATATGGATAATGTACAACAAAATCATAGATAAACAAAATAATAGATAGATAAGAAAAAAAATTTAAATAACTTAATGTATATAATTCTATGTTAAATTAAAAATATTAAAAGCATAAACAAACAATACAGAATCCCAAAAGATAAAGTTACTGACAAATATAAATAACAAATAAGCCAAATTAACTATTCACTAAATCAAGTAGGATAAAAAATCAGTTAAACTAAATTTAAACTTATAATTAATTTTTTGTTCTATTATTCATAGGCCAAAATGCGTATTTTAGACCCTGTACTTAAAAAAAAAAAAAAAACATTGTGGCCCCTTATACTTTGCGAGAGTCCTATAAGGTATCTCTATTTATTTTTTTCGTATTTAATAGTTACTTATCATGGGCAAATGAAGCGCGTGCAACTCAAATCCCCTTACTTGAAAAAATATAATGACATGTCAGAGAGAGACACATATTATACGCCATATCATACACTGGCATCTCCCCTCCCTCCTCTTCGGACTTCCTCTTTTGCTTCCAAAACCATCAAATTGAGAGAAAGAAAAAATAAACCTTCTTTGCTTTCTAAAAGCATTTTAATTTACTTTAATTCCTTTAGAACACAAAATCAAAGAAGAGCAGAACTTGATCTGCTAGAAAAAGAAAGTTAAACAAAAAATCAAGAAAATAAGAAAATGAGTTGTTATTATTCAAGAATAGAAAGAGAAGAAAGCTAAACTAGAAAATCAAGAAAATAAGAAAATGGGGTTGTTGTTATTCAAGATTAGAAAGAGAAGAAATGGTTTCAAGGTGCAAATCAAGAAAATAAGAAAATGCATAGTACTGGATCTGCTTTCTTCCAATTCTCCACCACAGAAGCTAACCTCCACCACCACCAATGCCACCATCTCCCACTTGTTTTACCATCACTACCACTTTTACCTCCCGAACCTCCACCTCCTCCTACACCAATGAGTCCTGGC